CATGTCAGGCTAACTGAGAAATCCCAGATACTCCCTCAGCGCTCCGCCCCGCTGCGCTCCAGACCGACAAAGCAAAGCCTACAGCCTCCACTGTGGCTCCCGTCTGCTCCGCTCTGAGTTCCTTGGAGATGGTAGAGGGCATGCGCCAGATGATTAAATTCAAAGCAGCAAAACATGCGGAAATGATCCAGGGTTTCCCGCGGATGATTAAAAATAATTACAATTCATTAATTTTTTGGGATTTTTTTCATAAATTTTTTATGGGATTTTGGTGTAACAATCAACATATACCGAACCGAACCCAAAACCGTGACCAGAAACCGTGAACCGAACCGTGGATTTTGTGAACCGTTCCACCGCTAGAAATTATTCATAACTCAAAAAAAATCATGAAAAACTGGGTCACAGCAAAAAAGTTCTAAGTTGAAAAAAAAAAATCAGCCTAAATCTTAATAATTTGGTGATAAGTGTAAAATATCCCAATAAAAAAAACTTTGAGGGACATTTTTATATCAATATTTTAGGATTTCATTGGTTTTTATTTTATTTTTTTTGTATTAAATTCTATCAATCTACCGTGTTACTTGTGTATCTCCACATAAACCGTTTCTAAAAAAACAAGAATTTTAAACCATGACTGTTTCTGTATTTATCTTTAATGCCTATTTTTGAGCATAAAGAAGTTGTGAACCTCGTTGGGGGTTCTTATTCATGAGGAATATGACCTAATCCTACATGGTTTAACTGTGAAATATGTCTCTGATGGCTCTATCTCCTTTCCTCTGCCCAGATAAAGCAGATAGGCATCAGGATCTTTTGCAGGAGCTAACGCCCTGACTGCAAAGATTCATATCAGGCTAAATAAAAAAAATAAAAAATAACCCCTTCATGTTTTATAATAAAAGGAGCAGGGGAAATGATTGCCTTTTTGAGGGCAGAAAAGTGGATACAATGCAACGGATGATGATATTCACTGTGGAGCGACGGAAATCGTCGCTGTGTTAAAGAGACAAGCGTCTGTTCCATTACAGCTCAATTCTGAGAAGAAGTTTCTATGAGAATGAGAAAATGGAAGGATGCGTTTCTCCGAAGAACAAAATGAGCCGTTATCTTCTGCACAGACATTAGCTGCTGCAGACAATCCTTTTTTTCCTGTGGAAAATTGCTTATGTTAAATCTTTTAGTGCTGATGTGTGTTAGCTGTACCCAAACCCAACATAATACTTTCAGACAATATGATATATATATATATATATATATATATATATATATATATATATATATATATATATA